CCAGGCTTTGGGAGGCCCAGGCAGGAGAATCGCTTGAGCCCAGAAGTTTGAGACCAGCCTGGGCAACACAGTGAGACCTCATTGCCACAAAACATACAAAATTAGCTGGGTGTGGTGGTGCGTGCCTGTGGCCCCAGCTACTGGGGAAGCTGAGGTGGGAGCATCGCTTGAGCCCAGGAGGTGGAGGCTGCAGTGAGCCGAGACTGCACCGCTGCACTCCAGCCTGGGCGACAGAGCCAGACCCTGTCTCTAAAAATAAAAACTAAAAAAATATATAAATGAAACACACGCTTATCCTCTCACAGTCTGGAGGGCAGAAGTTGTAACATCAAGGGTGGGCAGGGCAGGTCCCTCCTGGGGGCTCCAGGGGGAAAAACCCAGTTCCCGCCTTTCCCAGTGTCCAGAGGCGCCGGCATCCCTTGGCTTGGGGCCCCTTCCTCCCGCTTCACTGCTGCAGCGCAGCCTCTTCCCATCTCTCTCTGGCTCTCACCCTCCCGCCTCCTCTCGTGAGGGCCCTGTGAGGACACCCTGTGGGCCTCCAGGTCACCCCGGATGCTCTCCTGTCTCAGGTCTGTCACTCAGTCCCACCTGCAGGTTCCGTCTGCCACGAGAGGCAACACGACGACGGGTCCTGGGGATCAGGATGGGGACGTCCTGGGGGCTGTAACAGTGCAGCCAGCACGGTTTCCTCAGGTCTGAGTCGGGAGCAGAGGCTTCTGTGGCGGGTTGGGCTGCGCTGTGGGGGCACGGTGTGAAGGGCCTCGAATGCCAGGCTCAGGTCTGGACTCCTTCCCGTCTCCGCAGAACCACATGGCCCAGCCCACAGACCTGGGCTGACTCACACCCGTCCCGTCCCATGCTCGGCACCACAGAACCATGCGGCCCGGCCCACAGGCCTAGGCTGAACTTCATGGCTCCAAACAAGCTGAATGTGGTGGCTTCACGCCTGTAATCCCCAGGCTTTGGGAGGCCTAGGTGAGAATCGCTTGAGCCCAGTTTGAGACTGTAGCCTGGGCAACACAGTGAGACCTCAATGCCACAAAACATACAAAATTAGCTGGGTGTGGTGGTACGTGGCTCGTGGCCCCAGCTACTGGGAAGCTTGAGGTGGGTGGAGACGCTTGAGCCCAGGAGGTGGAGGCGCTGCAGGAGCCGAGACCGGCACCGCTGCACTCCAGTTTGGGCGACAGAGCCAGACCCTGTCTCTAAAAAAATAAGCCCTAAAAATATATAAATGAACAACACGCTATCTCACAGTCTGGAGGGCAGTAGTTGTAACATCAAGGGTGGGCAGGGCAGGTCCCCTCCTGGGGCTCCAGGGGGAAAAAACCCAGTTCCCGCCTTTCCCAGGTCCAGAGGCGCCCGGCATCCTTGCTTGGGGCCCCTTCCTCCCGCTTCACTGCTGCAGCACAGCCTCTTCCCATCTCTCTCTGGCCTCACCCTCCGCCTCTCTGCAGAGGCCTCCTGTGAGGACACCCTGTGGGCCTCCCAGGTCACCCCCGGATGCTCTCTGTCTCAGGTCTGGGTCACCAGTCCCACCTGTAGTTCCGCCTGCCACGAGAGTAACACCACACCACGGTCCTGGGACCAGATGGGGACGCCCTGGGCTGCAACAGGTGTGCCAGCACTTCAGCCTTCAGGTCTGAGCTCGGAGCAGAGGCTTCTGTGGCGGGCTGCGCTGTGGGGCACGGTGAAGGGCCTCGAATGCTTGTGGCTCAGGTCTGACTCCTTCCCGTCTCCGCAGAACTACATGGCCTGCCCACAGACCTGGGCTGACCTACACCCGCCTGGGCCCCATGCTCGGCACCAGAACCACGCGGCCCGGCCCACAGGCCTAGGCTGACCTGCACCTGCCTCGCCTGTACCAGCACAGCAGAACCACGCTGGGCCCCGCCCCACGCCTGCACCACAGACCACGTGCGCCTGGCCTGCACGCGGCACCACAGAAACGAGCCGCGCTCCGTCCTACGCCTGCAATGCCAGAACTGCGCCTGGCCCCACTGCACTGCAGTAAACCATGCCCGCCCACAGGTCAGCCACCTGTACCAGTTCGGCCCACACTGCACAGCAGAGAACTGCTGCCCGCCCCCACGCTGCACCACAGAACCACGCGCCTCAGCCCCACGCCGCTGCACCACAGAACCATGCGCCCCTGTCCCACGCCGGCACCACAGAACCACGTGCGCCTGCCCTGTGACGCTGCACCACAGAACCATGCGGCCCGGCCCACAGGTCAGCGACCTGCACCCGTTCCGGCCCACACTCGGCACAGCAGAACCACGCGTCCCATCCCACGCTCGGCACCACAGAACCATGCGGCCCAGTCCACAGGCCTGCGCTGACTCACCCCCGCCCCGGCCCACACTTGGCGCCACGGGTCAGGTCTCCTTTGAAGGAGCCTCTTCCGCTTTAACAGGGAGATTTGGGTCCAAGCTGCCCACACGTGGCCTCTGGAATGTGAGGCGGCTGTGGGCAGGGTGGGCAGGGAGCTGGGCGGGCAGCGCTTACAGAACCAACATCTGCCGGATGGATGTGGCATGCTCTGAAGAGGGATCATGAGCGGCCACAGTCCCCAAACGCGCAGTGACCAGCAGGGGTTAGACGCGGAGCAGACGAAGGGAGCACAGCGGCCCCGAGGGCTCCGGGCTGAACAGATGCAGCAGCAATTGTTCGGGAGGGGAGAAGCGGGAGAATTCATGAGACAGAGACAGAGACAGGGAGAGAGACAGAGACAGAGAAACAGAGGCAGAGACAAGAGAGGCAGAGAGACAGGCAGAGAGGGAGACAGATGGAGGCAGAGAGGGAGACAGAGACACAGGCAGAGAGGGAGACAAAGAAACAGAGGTGGAGAGGGAGACAGAGAGACAGAGACAGAGAGGGAGACAGAGACAGAGAGGGAGACAGACAGACAGAGAGGGAGACAGAGAGACAAAGACAGAGAGGGACACAGAGAGACGGGGCAGGGAGGGAGACAGAGACAGAGGCAGAGAGGGAGACAGAGAGACAGAGACTGAGAGTGAGACAGAGACAAAGACAGAGAGGGAGACAGAGAGACAGGGGCAGAGAGGGAGACAGAGGTAGAGGGAGAGAGGAAGACAGAGGCGGAGAGAGAGGCAGAGACAGAGGGAAACAGGCAGAGAGAGACTAACAGAGAGAGAGACAGAGAGAGACTAAGAGGGAGGGAGACAGAGAGAGAGACTAAGAGAGAGGGAGAGAGAGAGAGACTAGGAGCAAGGGGGAGAGGGAGAGGAACAGAGAGGAGAGAGAGACAGAAGGAAGACAGAAAGAGGCAGAGAAGGGGTGAAAGAGAAGAAGGGGGAGGGGCAAGGACAGGCTGAGCAGGGGCTGGTAGGACGGCAGTGGCAGTGAGGAAGGGGCCACTGCCATCAGACACACCCCGGACTTCTCCCGTGTCCTCTGAAGGGTGCGGCATGGACGCCGGTCCTGGACGGGTGCCTCCCCTGCCTCAGTTTCCTCCTGTGTCCAGCTGGCATGGGGCAGCAGCTCGCCACGCCTTGGCCAGGACCAGATCATACGGGGGTCCAGGGCTACTTCGGGTGAGGACAGAGCTCCGGTGTGCACCCTGCTGACCTCAGCTCTTAGATGAGCAGGGGCGCCCCCTCCCCTGAACACAGCTGGTAGGCCAATTTCCAGGCCACGCACGGGGGGCTCCAGGACAGGAATCCACCCTCTCCCCGTCCCAGAGCCCATGAGTCTGAGGTCAAGGTGTCTCAGGGCCTCGCTCCCTCCCCCGGCTCTGACCCACCTCTTCCAGCCCTGGGGATCCAGGCGACCCTGACCTGTGGCCAACCCGCCCCAGCCCGCCTCCGGTGTCGCACCAGCTCCCGTCTCTCCTGTCTCAGACTCCTCAGACACACAGGACAAGGATCCTCTGTGTGTCCCAGCACAAGGACCCTTGTGCTGGATTTCAGGGCTACCTCGCCTCATCTTGATCCTTACCCAATGACATGCAAAAAGACTTCCCAGGAAGGTCCCCTCACAGACTCCAGGGTGGAGGCGCACGTGAGAGACCCTGTCGCCCCAGCACAGACCCAGGGTCCGGCTCACTTTGCCCCGCTCTGCTACGGCCCTGAGTGGGGAGAAGTGGGCCCAGGGTCCACCCGGCGAGCGGTTTGCAGGGCCTGGGTCTGGGTGAGCCCTGGGACCTGAACTGGCTCCATTCTGCTGCAGCCACACCTGACCGCTTCTCTCCGGATCTGGCCGGCTTGTGCCCACCCGCCACGAGCTCTGAGGCCCAGGCAGATCTCACATGCCCATTACACAGGGGAAAGTGGAGGCTTCGGGGAGGTGAGCACCACGTGACCCTCGCTCCCCAGCAGGCCCTGGGCGTGGTCCGGCCCAGCAGCAGCCCCTGGTCGACACGAGAGGCTGCGGTATCTGAACCGTCCCAGGGAAGCCGATCTCTGTGGCACTGGGTGCTCCAGAGCAGCCGTGAGGAAGGTGGGGCACTGGGAACCCCTTCGGGAGGCTGTGAGGACGGGGGTGGGGTCGCCTGATGCCACAGTGGGAGGCTGGGACCCCCAGTGACCCTGGAGAGAATGAGGTTGAAGGTTCTCTTCCTTTGGTGTGTGAGTTCTGTTTTCAGGTGGCTGTTACGGGGTTGGGACTCCAGCGTGCAGTGTCTGGACCCGCCCAGAGAGAGGGCCATGGGGGGGGGCGCGACGGCTGCCAAGGTCTCTCCCAGCATCGCCGTCCCCCCAACTCCCCCTGCGACATTGCCCAGATGCTCACAGGGACCCCAAAGGCCAGGCGGGGCTCACTGCTGACACAAAGGGACAATCACTGGCTCTTCCCCAAAACCAAGCCACATCTCCGGGCTCCCACTGCCCCACCTAAACCCTGTGGCTAGGGGGCGAAGCCAAGGTCACCGAGTCCCGGGCGGATGTGAGCGCGAGAGGTCAGAGGTCGCAGGGCAGCTGGAGAGGTGGCTCAGATTCCACCCTGCCCCCCACAGCGCGGAGAGCTCCTGGGGCTCCTACCTGAGCAAAGTCGCAGGTCTTTGGTGGCAAGCTGGAGGCGGTGGCCACGGGGGCATAGCTGGTGTCCGGGCAGGGCTGGCTGCCAAGCAAGGAGGCGGAGCTCATGAACGGGCTGGAGGGAGAAGGGGAGGGAGACGGGGGAGGTGAGAGTGGGCGTGGGGGTGATGGACCCACTCCCTCAGTAACACAACTGCTCCCCCGTGGCCGCAGCCAGAGGCCCCTGAAGGCCCCGCTGGAGCGTGCCCAGGCCCGGCAGGACCCACGGCTCCACTGCACACACAGAGGGGCCTCCAGGGGTCTGGTGGTCAAGCCTGGAGCTGCCCTCCCACCCCACTGGACACAGCCCGGCCTGGCTCCTCAGGAACGGCCGCCAGGTGGGTGGAGGGTGTCCAGGGCCACCATCCCGCCCTCCCTGCTCCATCAGCAGGACTCATTCTAAGGGTTCATTCTGGCGTTTCAGAACTCCTGCCTGGCCGTCCCTCCCCCACACACAGGCCCCTTGGCCCACACCTCACTCCTGCCACGAAGGAGGACAGCGCCACGGGCAGAAACCCAGGATCACCATCCTCCCAGGAGGGCCCAGGTCGGTCCCCCCACCGTCACCCTGAGGATGGCAGAGGACACAGCAAGGAGTGGGTCCTGGGGACCCCCCACCCAAGGGCACCTCTCTGCAGACTCCAGGAATAACATGCGGCTGGCAGGGAGCACTGGGCATTGCTGAAGGGAGTCTTCTCTGCCCTTCTCCACTCCAGCCCTCCTGGCCAGCTCCTGTGGTCGGGAGAGGGGTGGCTGCCGTCCCCAGCGCCTCCTTCCCACCCGCCAGGCTCCCCCGGGCTCTCCCTCCAGAAGCTTCTCTCTAGCAGGGCTGGCAGCAGGCCCAGGTCCCTGCCCAGTGGGGAGCCAGAGGGCTTGGGTCTGAGCGGCCTGTGCAGAGCTGTCCCCGGGGCAGGGACCGCCTGGGGGCCACTCTCCTCCTGCACGGAAAGGTTTGCAAACACCAACAGGAAAGAAGTATCCACTCCACTCCCGGGCCACAAACAGCTGCTCCACAATCTCCTGGCGTCTCCCAAGGCTCTGGCTACACCTGCCCCCAAGCCCTTTGCACAGCCTGGGAGCCTGGGAGCCTGGCCAACTCCTACCTCCCCTGCAAAACCCAGCCCAGCTGTTGCCCTCTGTGGGAAAAGTGCCCTTCTGGCTCCCTTCACCCCAGAAAACCTCTCACCCCTTCCCACCCTGGCGTCACCTCCACCCCTCCTCTGTGGGAAAAGTGCCTTCTGGCCTCCCTTCACCCCAGAAAACCTCCTTTCACCCTTCCCCACTCCCATGCTACCTCCACCCTCACCACTCCCTTCCCACCCTGGCGTCACCTCCACCCCTCACCCCCTTCCCCACTCCTGGCGTCACCTCCACCCCCTTTCACTCCTTCCCACCTCTACGCTACCTCCACCCCCTCACTCCCTTCCCACCCTGGCGCCACCTCCACCCTCACCTTCCCCACCCTGGCGCGCCACCTCCACCCTCACCCCTTCCCACCCTGGCGTCACCTCCACCCCTCACCCCTTCCCACCCTGGTGTCACCTCCACAGGAGGCCCCCCCGCCCCAGCCCACACCTCCCCGCCCTCTACCAAGCTGGGCTCTCGAGGAGACGGAAGCCATGGATCACAGAACAGCGTTCAACAAACAGTGGTCTCAGCCTGGACCTGGCCCGTGGGGTGGAGCCTTCCAGGACCACGTGCACACCACCCCCCAACCCCTCCACAGGACTTTGAGCCCTCGCGCCCTGCACCCAGAACTCCGTTTGTATCTGTGACTTCAGAAGTGAGCAGGCCTGGGAAGCTGTGCGGGGAGGACCTCGGTACTCACCGGCTGTCACTGGAGAAGGCAGGGTACGGCGGCAGTGAGAAGGTGTTCCAGTAGGGGCAGTGCAGCATGGCGCTCTGGAAGAGACGGCGGGCATCAGCAAGTGGGAAGCAGAGGGACCTGCGGTGCAGCCTGGCTGAGCCCTCCAGGCAGGGTGAGAGCCCAAGGGGTTAGGGAGGCCCTGCAGTCAGGGTCCCATCCTGCCCCTGCTGAATCTCCTGGGGAGTCATTTAACCGCCATGTGCCTTGGTTTCCCCACCTGCACCAGACCCCGCCCAAGGCTTGTGGTGTGGTCTGAAGGCGCTGAACACCCACGTGAAGGGTTCCACACAGGCCTCGCTCTACCACCAGGCCCACAGCCCAGGAGTCTGCATCTCACACAAGACCTGGGGGTGCTGCTGCCCCAGGACCCTGCTTGGAGGCCCCATTCTAGGAGGTGGAGGATCGGACTGTTCACATGACGGAGATGTTCACCTGCCGCCTGCAGTGCAGGGTGGGCACGGGGGCTCCTCGGGCAGGGCCTGGGGCAGGTGAGGGCCTCACACCAGCTCCACGGCCCTCGCACGTGCTGGTGTGACCCGGAAGCTCAGGCTGCTGCGTGGGACAGGGCCCTGACTTCTCAGAACTTGCATGGGGTTGGGGTGCCGGGAGCCTGTTTTGGGAAGTGGTGACCAGTGGCCTGGAGGCTCAGCCAGAGGTCAGCGGAGGCGTAAGTGGTTCCAGGTTGGCCGAATCTCTGGTGGGTCTCACTCCAGGCCAGGCTTACAACACCCTCGCCAGGAGCTGACGTCCCACCCCATGGTTCTCTGGGAAAAGCTCACTGTGCCTGCTCTTGGGAACGAGAGCGGCGTGGGGCACACAGCAGGCCCCAAAACCTGAGGATGGGGAGCACATGGGGCGGCAGCAGGCCCAGGGGTGGCAGCAAGCCTGAGGTCAGCACCTGTGGCTTTGGGGGCAGGGCTGTGGACACCTCGTGCCCTGCAGAATGGGCACCCCTCAGCAGGGCCCCCACCTGCACAGGGCCAACTCCACCTGCAGCAGACAGACCCTGCCATCACAGACGCCCCCATGGTCACGAGGGAGACGCCACCGGCCGGGGGCACCATCCTGCTTATCCCAGCAGGACCATGGGCCATGGTGGCTTCCAGAGCGGGGGGCAGGGGTTCGCCTGCTGCCCCGAGTTCCCCAATGACCTCTCCCAGGCCCACGCAAGCCCTGCTCCTCCCTGAGGCCCTGATGCAGTTCCCTGGGGCTCAGCCACCTCTGGCCTCTCATTCACCTCACGCTGTCCGGGAACCAGCCCTGACGGCCAGGGGCCCCTTTCTGTACCCTCAGGTGCTGGGTGGGGGATTCCAGGACCACCGAGAGCCCGAGACAGGCAAAGCCCTCGGGGTGACTGCTGTCCCGCTCCTCCAGCTTTTGCATAAAATAAATTTATCAGCGAAAGCCCACAGCTCCTCCCCTGCACAGAGGCCGGCAGCCTGGGCGTCCTGAGCTCCCGCACAAGTGAGAAGGTCCCAAGGTGGCGGCCTGCAGGAAGCAGGGCCACCAGCCCCGGGGGCTCCAGAGCCTGGGTCTGGAGGCAACCTCCTCCTGCCTCCTCCTGCCCTTTTGGGGAGAGAGAAAGCCAGCCCCGGAGAGAAACAGGAACTTCCCAAGGCCACGTGGCACATCCAGAACATTCTGGAACTGGACTGTGACTCCAGACCAACCCAGCCTCCTGAGATGAGCTGGAGTCACCTGTCTCAGGCACACACGGTGCCTTGGGCCAGTCTGGGCATGGCCACAGACAGGGAACTGCAGCTACAGGAGTGGGGCGGGGGGCTGTGGGGTCCCAGGGTGGGAGGACCCAGGGGTCCTCGGCTCACCCAACATGCTCCACCTGTGCCCAGGCCAGGTTAGGGGCTGGAATGGGGGGGAAGTCATGACTGCCTCTATCCCAACCTCCTCCCACAGCCCGTGGCTCTGCTGAGAGCTGCCAATCACAGATACCCTAGTCCCACCCCACAGGGGTGCCATGGGCATGGCAGGCCAATCAGAACCTTCCCTGGGTCCTTCTCTGGCAGCCAGAGGGTGCGGCTTCACCTTTAGAGGGCAGGCCCTAGCACATAATTGGTCCAGAGATGGTCACCTGACCCTGGCCAGCCAATCAGAGCCTGCCTGGGGATTTTCTTTCCTTTCCTTATTTTGAGATGGAGTCTCACTCTGTCACCCAGGCTGAAGTGCAGTGGCACAATCACGACTCACTGCAACCTCGCCTCCTGAGTTCAAGCGATTCTCCTACCTCAGCCTCCTGAGTAGCTGGGATTACAGGTGCCAGCCACCACATCCAGCTAATTTTTGTATTTTTAGTAGAGATGGGATTTCACCATGCTGGCCAAGCCAGTCTCGAACTCCTGACCCCAAGCAATCTGCACCACCTCGGCCTCCCAGAGTGCTGGGATTTCAGGCGTGAGCCATTGCGCTGGCTGGTGTATTTTTATTTCTAATTTAATACTCTGGCGCTGGAAGAGGCTGGGCCGTGTGTGTGTGAACTCAGCTGACCCTGGTCAGCGGTGTCCACACTGTATCCGAATGTGACGGAACCCGGAACAGGGAGGGTGGGATGAGCCTCACACGCGTGTTGGGAGGCAAAGCCGGTTGCGCGCATGGGTGTGCCCCGGCCTGAGCCCCGTGGCTGCTGTCCAGTGCCCCCGCCGGGGTCGAGCTCTGCCGCAGGCCCCAACTGTCACCGCTAACACCTTCCCGCTCCCCCTCGGATCCTCGAAGACGGCTCCTCTGTCTCCACATCACATAATTCGCTTAATTATTTCCCCACTGTGGAGCCTCTGGGGAGATTCCAGTTTCCTGCCGCTATAAATAGTGCCGCCCTGTCTTCCCTCCCTCCTGATCAGTCCTCCGGGTGTGTTTCCGAGATAGAATTCCTGGGTTGGAACAAGCACCTGGCGGGTGTTGGGGGATGGAGCTGTTCTGGTGGGGATGTGGCTTGGCCAAGCCCCTTTATGGTGGCCAAGGAGGCCGACCGACGGCCAGTAGTCGAGCTCCACTGGGGCAGCTGTGGGGATCCAGCCTCAACCCCGAGGGGCTCAGGAACTAGTGAGGGGGACAGGAGGGGTCTGGGCCACAAAAGGGACCCTGCTCCGAGAGGGGTACCCTGGCCCCGGCTGGGAGCCCCCTCTGGACGGTCAGAACATGGCAGGAGGCTGCCCAGAGCCCTCTGAGGATGGACTGCCGAGGGGTGTCTGTGATGTTCGCCCCACAGGCCAACCTGGGCGTTGGGCTAGGGAGTGCCCAGGAGACCCTGGAGTCCCGGAGCAGGTCCTGCTGCTTGACAGGAGAGGGCAGTCCCTCTGTATCCAGGTAGAAAAACCCCAGGCAGGGCCGGGCGCAGTGGCTCACAACTGTAATCCCAGCATTTTGGGAGGCCGAGGTGGGCGGATCAACTGAGCCCAGGAGTTTGAGAACAGCCTGGCCAACATGGCAAAAACCCATCTCTGCAAGAAAATTTTAAAAATTAGCCAGGAGGCCGGGCGCGGTGGCTCAAGCCTGTAATCCCAGCACTTTGGGAGGCCAAGGTGGGCGGATCACGAGGTCAGGAGATCGAGACCATTCTGGCTAACACAGTGAAACCCCGTCTCTACTAAAAAATACAAAGAACTAGCTGGGCGAGGTGGCGGGCACCTGTAGTCCCAGCTACTTGGGAGGCTGAGGCAGGAGAATGGCGTAAACCCGGGAGGCGGAGCTTGCAGTGAGCTGAGATCCAGCCACTGCACTCCAGCCTGGGTGACAGAGCAAGACTCCGTC